AAATGCGGATTTCGTACAAAAGAAATCACCCAGACACAGCGTTTTATTACCAAATTCTATAAGAGCCTTAATAGTTGGCCCTTCGAATTGTGGAAAGACTAATGTTATGCTAAGCTTGATAGAAAGTCCAAATGGTTTGAAATTCCAAAATGTTTATATATATTCTAAATCTCTATATCAACCGAAATACGAATATCTCAAGAAACTTATGTCATCTATAAAGGGTATGCGATTGTTTACTTTCAATAATAATGAGGATGTTGTACAACCAGAAGATATAAGGCCAAATTCAATTATCATATTCGATGATGTGGCTTGTGATAAACAAAATAATATTAAAACGTACTTCAGTATGGGTCGCCATAAAAATGTCGATTCATTTTATTTATGTCAGACATATACTAGGATTCCGAAACATTTACTACGTGATAATGCAAATATGATTATTATGTTCAAACAAGATGATTTAAATTTAAAACATATATACAATGATCATGTTGGAAGTGATATGAGTTTTGAAAAATTTAAAGAAATATGTCGTGAATGCTGGAAGGAAAAATATGGATTTCTAACAATTAGCAAAGACGATGATATTAACTCGGGAAGATATAGAAAGGGATTTCACACATTTATACAACCATAAATATATTTAAGTAATCCCTATTATAACCACTGCTATTAGTATAATCACAACCATGGAAGAAGAAATGTTAAAGCGCCTTGTTAAGTCCCGAAATGCCTTGAAAAGAAAATTACGAAGCATTAAAAGGGGGGAGGAATTAAAAACAAACGAATTGAAAAATACATTCAAACCCATAACTGAGCCAATACATAAACTATTAAAACTAACGAATGTTAATGCATCAAATCAACCAATACCTAAGAAGGAAAATATTGAATCATATAAAGATTATTTTGCTATGAGTACACCCGTTAAAAAATTGAAACACGATATTAAGCCAGAACCTAAAATTTTATGGGAGGAAACCGATGAGTTGGATTCAAAAGATGACACATTTTATACAGATAATGATGATACCGTTGACCTTTCTCTTTTAAATAAAAACAAAAAATTGGATACGGTATATGGACCACACAAAGATATTCACGGAGAATGGAAATTTGGGGACAAACCATTAAAAGTTGATGATCAGAAAATAATTATTGGAAATCAACATTGGGCATTTACACCGGGTCTATTTGAACTACTATTTTATCAAAAACCTAAAAATTATGACGCGTCAGAACTAGAAATATATAAAAAAATTTTGCTGGACTCTAATGCACATAAAGTAAACTTTAAGCATAATGAACGAATCAAATCCAACAGAGGATATAAATATAAACGTGTTATTAAACACTTGATGGATGATACTCACAGCGGCAAAGGCCTAATGAGAGTAAATCTCGGTAAACCGAACTATATATACTGGGACGATCCTAATGAATTAATAGAACGATTAAAGCTGTTGTTAGCATCACAACAAGCCGGCAATAATAATCATACTAATGAGATTGTTTCTATTATCGAGGAACTGAGAGAGGGAAATATAATTTATTAATCACCTGAATTACAAAATCAATGACTGTGGATAAGTTTGGTCATCATTATCATCTAAAATATACTTCAGCCACACTAAAGGGAAATGTTTCGAAAGTGCTGGGAATCAATATTGATGAAGATAACAATTTGGACATACAGAATAAGAGGATTAAAAACTTGGCTCCCCCGGCGGGAGGATCGGATGCGGTCAACCAAGCATACGTACATTCGCAAAACAAGAACCTACAAGAAATATTAAAGAAAAACGTATTTCAAGAGTGCTCCGATATAAGAGAAGAAATATCGCGTTTAAAACACTCGTTAAACGAACTTTATGGTATTTTATCGAAAAACACATTTACTCACTCCACTGTAAAATATTACACTGAATAAAATGGAAAAACGGGAATTAGTGAATGAACTCCACACTCAGGCAAGAAAAAAATTTAAGAGGCGGAGGGTTATTATAAAGGGGATTGACGACCTATGGCAAGCTGATTTAGTTGAAATGGGCAACTATTCTAAAGCAAACAAGGGATACAAGTTTATGCTAACAGTTATAGATACCTTTTCAAAATATGCGTGGGCTGAAGCGCTCAAGTCTAAAAATGCCACTGAAGTTTGTACAGCATTTGAAAAAATACTGAAAGCAGGACGAATTCCGAAAAATTTGCAAACCGATGATGGGAAAGAATTTTTTAATAAAACATTTGGGGGACTTATGCATAAATATAGAATAAATCATTATTCTACATATAGTGTATTGAAAGCATCAATTATTGAACGTTTCAATAGAACCCTAAAAGGAATGATGTGGAAAGAGTTTAGTTATAATGGAAATTATCAATGGATCAAACTCTATAGGGATTTACTAGACAAATATAATAGCACCCCTCACGGAACGATAAAAATGGCTCCAATACAAGTTAATTCCTCAAACGAGAAGAAACTGCTGAAATCCGTTTATAATCATATAAAAATTTTTAAAAAACCACGCCTTCATGTCGGCGATCACGTACGCATCAGCAAATATAAACATCATTTTGAAAAGGGTTATACTCCAAACTGGACAACCGAAATTTTTAGAATAAGAACGATAAAAATAACCAACCCCACTACATATCTGCTGGAAGATTTTGAAGGAAATCCAATACAAGGATGTTTTTATAGAGAAGAACTTTTGCCTACAAAATATCCAAACACATATTTGGTGGAGAAAATTCTAAAATCAAGGAATGACAAAGTTTATGTGAAATGGTTGGGTTTCTCAAATCGGCATAATTCTTGGATAGATAAAAATGATGTTTTGTAATGATATTTAACAATAAAATATAAAAGTATGAGAATCGATTGTGTACTGTTTATTACAACTTAGTATCTTGCAATGTCAAGAACGTTTACTTTGACGGGTAGAAATTCAATTTTATGCTCAAATTATTCACCACCTATAGAATTAGGTGATAATGATTACGAGTGTAGTTTAATTGATTTTCAATCGTACAACTCAATTCCTAATGTGGATGAGGATAATAACTTGTTTCATATTGGAAATGATACAATAGAAATACCTATAGGATCATATGAATTGCAAGATATTGCAGACTTTTTGGAAACAGTGTACAGATCTATGTACATAAATAGATCTATAGATATTAAAGCCAATAATAATACATTACAAATAGAAATTACATCATCTCATGATCCTATTTATTTCAATAAGGAGAAATCTATATCAAAACTCTTTGGTTTCACAGACAAAGTTTTAGAGCCTGGAAAAAAGCACATATCTAACCTTCCAGTAAATATTTTGAAGGTGAATGCTGTTCAAATACACTGCAATATAGTAACTGGTTCATTTATGAACAACTCACCTGCACATATTCTTCACGAATTTTCTTTAGATGTTCCCCCAGGCTATAAATTGGATGAAAGACCATTGAACCTCATTTATTTGCCTTTGAACGTCAAGGAAATCAGTCGTCTTGAAATATTAATACTAGATCAAGAAGGTCGATTGATAAACTTTCGGGGAGAGGAAATCACACTTCGAATTCATATAAGACCAATACAATCATGATTATATACAATAAATACAATTATAAACAAACTCCTAAAAACATTCAACATAAAGTTGTCAAACCGACAAGACCATTTCTAACTAAGGAAAATAAAGAGTTTTTAAAATTACTTAAATTAAAAGTAAAACCCAATGTCTGAAGTACTTAATATAAATGAACGGCCATTCTCTGATGAGAATATCATAAAGCGGGATTATCACAGCTATGTTCCTTATGTTCAATCATTTAAAAACAATGATGAAATACGTATAAGCATTCAAAACCAAGATTTGTACATATTACCATCAGAGAGCTATTTGTACATTGAAGGGCATTTGAGAAAAGCAAATGGAGAAATTTCACCAAACGCTAGACTGAGGAATAATTGTGTTGGGTATATGTTTGACGAAATTCGTTACGAACTAAACGGTGTTGAAATTGATCGTACACGCTATCTTGGAATGTCAACAAAAATTAAAAATTGGATTTCTTTAAATCCATTTGAAAGTAATGTTATGAGTAAAGCAGGATGGAACGTAGATGGTGATATAACCACTAATTCTTTTAACTTTTGTGTACCCTTGAATCGTCTGCTGGGATTTGCTGAAGACTTCAACAAAGTAATATGCAATAGTAAGCATGATTTAATTCTCTTGCGGAGCGCTAATGACATGAATGTGTGTTATTCAACTGACTCGAAAGAAGACATTCGACTAACAATCACAAACATTGTGTGGAAAGTTCAACACATTCATTTGTCTGATTATAGAAAAATTAGTTTTCTGAAAACTATAAAGGAAGGAAAAACATTGCCGCTGGCGTTTCGTAGTTGGGATTGTTATTTTAATCCAACTTTTTCTGGTGGTTTAAAACATAATTGGAGTGTTAAAATGTCTGCCAATCATGAAAGACCGCGATATGTTGCTTTAGTGTTTGAAAGAGACAACAAATTGATCCACTGTGATCTTGAGAACATCAAAGTACACTTGAATTCTGAGACATACCCTTATGATGATTTAAATCTTAAGTTCTCAGAGAATCGTTATGCAATACTTTATGACATGTATGCCAAATTTCAACAAACATATTATATGAGGGAACCACAACCGCTTCTAACATACACTACGTTTAAACATAATCCAATTACCGTTATTGATATAAGCAATCAAAATGAAGCTGTGAAAAATGGACCAATTGATTTAAAAATCGAATTTACCACCAATATCCCAATACCTCAAAACACCTCATCATATTGTCTAATCATTCATGACCGCCTGGTGGAGTACATACCTTTAACCGGAATTGTTCGAAAAGCTGTATAAGTAATTTATACTTCCATGTCTTAATATTAAGTATATTTGTGAAATAAAACTAAATGTTTGATTTTTTTTTATTTTTAAGCAATAAATGTTTTATTAAATATATACAGATTGTTTTATTTATTTACAAAGTCATTTTCATTAAAATTTAAAAATTGTATAAAATCAAGAGATTCACAATTTGTATATTCACTTTCTGAATCCCCCAACAATTCAAAAATAGATTTGTCATCCCCGTCTAAAGGAATGTCTATTGTATTTACAGGAGGTATGTTATTTATATCTACATCTAGTTCTATAGGAAAATTAGAAATACTTATATTTTCTAAATCTATAACGTCATTATTATTTACATTTGCGATCAATTCAAAAATAGAAGTGTCGCTTGCATTTTCAATATGAAAATCAAGTTCCATTGGGATCACAGAATTTTCTTCATTTGAAAGGGCTACCTCATCTTCGTTATCATTTTTAAGTTTATAATGGCCCCAAGCATACGTACTTACACCATCTTCCCGTATAAATCTTTTATCATCTTGGAAACTGAGACACACTTTAGTTATATTGTCTGTGTATATCTCATGTTTCCTCGATCTAAATGTATACATACTATTATAATATTTTATTCGATTATACAGACAATCCCTATACGTGTCAATGGTGTACTGCTTCATAACAGATTTTTTAACACCCTTTGATTTCTTTACCTCTTCACTATTGTGGACTTTCATAGCGTACATTTTTGGTCTTAGGCCTACAAATTCCGATACCGTCTTTCCGCAGTTCTCATCCTTCATCATTCCTATAACTTTTTTATTAAGAAGAGGTATATTATATGGATTGGATGGTGAAAAATCTGATGTATCAAATCTAGCCAGTATTTCCTCTCGTGATAGTTCAGCAAAGAGGTTGCGGTTAGTGAACGTTAGTATGAATGAATCAGTATCCATATAGTTTAATACGAAGTCGTTTCCAAACTTAACTTTTAAAAAATCATAAAAGAAATCGTACATGACCCATTTCGATAACTCTAGAATACAAAATCCAAGGTATATCGGTTTATCATACTTCACCCTCACTTTGTTCATTTGAATTGCCACCATTTCATCTGAAAAGTGTGTAAGACTATGAAAATTTGGTTTTGAAATAAATTCCCGTGCACCCCAGCGCTTCCCATAAGATTCCCAATGGTTTCTTATTTCCACGATTTTCCTTTTGTCCACATTTTCCATTGTTTTGCCATAAACAGAATTATTCATAAATTTATAAAAATTTTTTGCGAAAGCATCTGTGGCTTGTACTCTGAGATTGTTATTTTTCATTATGTATGCTGCAAGCCAATTAGATTGCGTAAACTGTAAACAGCTATTAATTTTTTTAAGAATTAAATTATGCTGGATACATTGTTGAAGCACTCTATAATCAATTGTATAAGACGTTTTGTCATTCAAATCTGCAATCAACTTTTTGATCTTACAGCCACCGACACATTTGGATTCAGGACAAAAGGGTAAATCATTGTGTTTGTCATGCAGATTTTTTGGATATTCTAAATCCACATTAAAAAAATAACCAGTTGGTGAATCATTTGGAATCGCTAATATTTTACTGACGTCATTGAATATTTCCAACTCTTCTTGAGTTAAAAACTTAAAATCTTTTTGTGGCAAACATTGTGTCATTGCTTTACCATATAAATTGTTGACGTCTAAATAATAAATATTTACCTCGGGTTTACTAGGGTCATAGTCTTCAGTGTATTTACTATTGGCTACCGAGTGTCTATTTGAACATTGTGTAAGTCCACCTCTAATGCCATTTTTACAGAAATTATACATGTTAATATCTGTAAATAGCTCTAATTCAACACCCGTGCACAGCAACATGGCATCCCAAGATAGTGATGGTACTGTGAAATACTGACAAGGATCAAGTCTATGGTGACGGAGGCACAAACTTCGAAAGTTTTCGAACACATCAGCCAACAGTAAGACATCTGCTGTTAAATACAACTCCATATAATCCTTGACAGTTTGGCATTCAAAGTGCCTCCATACATTCTGCGCATGTCTATAATCATCTAACGAACACTCACTGTCAGTCAACCTGTTGTAAAATTCATTTCGGTTAGGCAATTTTCTTTCATATAATTTGTCCAATGAAGACACGTATTCATAAGGGAAAACTCCTTTCCTAGTTAGCAGATTGAAATCACCATCATTTGGAAACTGTGTACGAACAGCTTGAAATGCGTTTTTAGGTAGATTTTTAGCCAAACTATCCAAACTGGAAGACATAAAACGAAAACTGTCCAAGAACCTCAGTTCAAATTTATTCCGCCATTTGTTTTTCGAATTCACCGAAGAATTATGATCGACCATTTCGTTTGAATCGTTGTTCATTTTAGTGAAATATGACATTGAAACATATAATTCTTTATTTAATGGAATTACTTTAATTTCTCCATCAAAGTGAATTAATTCTTTGAAGAACAAATGGCAATCATAAGAAGAAAAATTGTGGAAGAATATCGGCACAAATTTTGGCACATGGTATTTCAAATTACATTCATTGTGTGCAGCTCCTCGATATTTTCCAGTTAAATGACAATGATCCTTAACTCGGTCATTACCTAGCTCTTTCTCACAAATGTGACACACAGTACTGCTATTAAAATCATCTAATTCTGTCTGAGACAAAGAAATCATTGGTACCGTTTTTGACAAATATGTGTTGTAAATAAATTTACAATCCCCTATAAGATTTTCTAAAAAGTTTCTCGCAGCATTGGGGCCACTATATATATAAAATTTACTTAAACTATCATTAAAACTACATTTAATATAATAACTAAATGCACAAGGAATGTGCCTTTTTACCGTTACTGTGTTTGTATTTGTGTTTGTGTTGAGGTTCTCCGGGTTCCAATCCTCTAGAATACATTCAGCATCCGCATAGATCACAAATGGAACTCTCTCCTTTTTGTGGTAGTTTTTAAACCGAATAATGTTTTCTCCTTCTTTAGGCATCTCTGTTACGACCCCAACACACTCCTTCTCATGTTTTGCATATACGGCTTCCGTGGTGAAACTTTGTATGCAGCCATCACAAATGATTGATCTACCTCTATGTGCTGTTATTTGCGAACGTAATAACCTAGAAAGCAATAGATATATTCATTATTTATCATATTTAATAGTAATATTACTATGCTATTTTAACTTACCGTGACATATCCATGATCAATATGTAGTGGAACTTGTCGCCCTCATGAAGAAGCATCAAGTTAATATGACGATTCCTTCGTTTTGGGGTAAGATAGTAGGGTCCAACTATCTGATTTCCATCATAGCCGAAGACATTAATACTAATATCTTCATTATTGGCCTCAAAATCCTTGATATTTTTTATCGCCATAGGGAAACTAAGTCCTCTAAAATTCAATATCTCCCCGGATGGCAAGTATATAATCTCTTCGGTTATATTAATATTATATGATTGCGGATTAGACTTATCACATGCTGCTGCTGCTGGTTCCGATAAAGCTGCCACAATACACCATTTGAAGCAAAATTCATCGTAATTTCTAATGTTAAGACAGGCATTCTTTTTTGATAAAGAGAGCGGTGTCTTCAAGAACTGAGAGCCACGAGTTAAATTAGCTTTATATATATTTATATTCAGCTTTACGATTTTCTCTAAAGCCCAGCCAGAATCTCTTTCTTGAAATTCAGACATTTTATTAATTATACGATTCGCGTGATCGTGGAATAATTGGCTTATATTGTCACCTTCCGTTATCAACGACATTTTTGACATATGGCAAAACATATTTTGACTTGTATTTAAAACCATATTTGATGTTGATGGTTCATCACGTTGACTTATGGGCTTGACATATTCTCCTATAAGCTCAATATTGAATTTTATAGGCGTATTTCTCGTAAAGTTCTTCTCGACCAAGCTGACAATCGTTTCTTTGGCATCGCTTAATAATTCATTTGGCAGCAAAATGTTTTTTGCATTAATATACTCGAAGGTTAGTATATTTTTGCCAAATGAGTTTTTGACAATATTGATATTTTCACCAAAAATTTGGCGAATTACACGCCGATGTTCATCACTACGAAGATGAGCGGACATATTTCGCACTGCTTTATGGCACTCATTGCAGAACTTGTTTCCGCCTTCACTTTGTTGGGATGGAATGTTATGATTATTGCCTGTGATTTGGTCAATTATAAATTGATTCCGCATCAATGGTAGGGTAACACTATTGCAGTTTGCATGTTCTATATTGTCTAATCTTGAGTTATTAGATGGTTGATTTTGCACAGGTGGACATCCATAATTCTTTTGATGAAATTTTAATTGATATGTATTACTAAAAAACTGTCCACATCCGCTGCAATGCTTGTTAACGTGTCTCAAATATTCGCGTTTAACAGTGAACGTTTCGGAGCAGAATTTGCAAATATTTTGTGCCATTTTGATTTCGAAAAATTTGATGGTGATGCTTGCGATTGAATTTCTTATTTTATACTAAACCTATTTTTTAAAAAACTCAGTCCTATATTAACATTGGCCATTTCTATAGAAAACCTAAGAAACCTCCACTAACAGATACATATGTATTTTTCAAAACATTTTTCATCCTAGGTCTTCCAAAATACAACAAGTACACGTAAGATCAGATTGCCCTTGTAATTTTCAAAATGTTACATCTTGTCACCAAACATAAATTCAAACAGTTTTCTCATATGGATTGAATGTAGTAACTTCGAATAATTTCAAGTAATTTTTTTTTTTCTTTTCTTTTTTATATAACTTTTTGATATGTGCCACAAGTGGCACAAGTGGGATGATGCCAAGTGAGGGTTGGCTCAAAAAAAAAAAAAACCCAAACAACGCACAATTACACACACACACACACACACACACACACATACAGCGGTTCAAACATTTCCAATGTGAAATAAAAAACCCAAACATAAAAAACCAAAAACAAAATATGAGTCTCATTACATTTTTTTATTACCCTCAAGTGATGATGATGGCTGAATGTAGGGATCAAACGCATACGTCCGACTGTAGGTATATGTCTACGCTAATTAGGAAAAACAACAACTCGAGACAAATTTCTTTCTAAGGGCACATGCAACAACAACGTCTAAGCCTTAATATAGGCAACAAAATGTGCAACAGCAAACAAAGGGCGCCAAGGTCATTCAATCCTCAGGAAAAACACAAGTGAGAAGAATTAGGGACAAACACACGACATAGACACATCATATTTGAACTAAACGCATCATAACTAAATATTACAACGCATAATGCACCGAGGCAAAAAGTCGTAAAATTTTATTGACCCTGCCACTTCCGGTCTCATATTCTACCTACTGCAGTTTTTTTTTATCTCACTCTGTATATTCTGGATCAGCGTAAAATTCTAAGACGATCTAGCGATGTCCGTCTGCCTGTCTGTCCTCCAGATATTCGGCATTTTCATGATTTCAACGACAGTATTTATCGGAATTATTTCAAATGGGTACTACAACCTATCACAAAAAAAATCGTATGTAGGTTCACGTTTTCGTATATCCCCCATATAACGGTACATCCCGATATTCGGAATGTTTATGATTTTAGCGACATTATTCACCGGAATTGTTTCAAATTTGGTATTTGAAGTTTGTAATGGGTACTACAGCCTATGACAAAAAATTTCGTAAGCAGGTTTACGTCTTCGTAGGAAGTTCCGGATGTTTTTTTTTTTAATTTTTTCAATCTCTTTTTCAAATGGTGGAACTTATCTGCTGTTTTACTTGTTCATTATGATTTTTCATTATATACTCGGCATGTAACATGTTCGGAGATATGTTCGGCAATAAATAAGATTTTTTAATTAAACGCAATGGGAAATGTATATTAGCTTTGAATAACATGTTAGCTTTGTTTGTAAAAATTTCCCTAAAAAGGTGATTTATTCTATTAACATTTTTTTCTGTGAAAGTCCTTCAGGCCGAACGACACAATTCATATTTTTAAGAAAAAATTGGTGGAGGCATTAAATTTAAATGAACTCATAATATGTGTTTTTTTTTCAATTGTGTTTTTGAACTCTTTAAAGAACATTTAGGTCTGAAGTCGACATGTGGGTAAAAAACTTGAATTTTTGGGCATTAGACTAAACAAAAATTTTCAAAAAAATACAAAATAAATAATTCAAAATATTATTAAATAACAATTTAACTGATTTTGGAATGTTTTTCAATTCAATGTTCAATTTCAAAAATGAGTGTGGTGGACCTACCGACAATAGGATAATATATATCCTAGAGTCGGCAGAGGTTTGACAGCTTTAAAAAATTCCGCACATTTTCGTACAGTAAAATCTGAAAACGCAGACATATATACCGCCAGTCCACTCCTATACTTTACTATACTCTCTGGTAACAACCCCACAAAAGGTCGAAATTTTCAAAAAACAATTTTTGCACAGAAAGAGATACGGTAATCCGATTTTGCTCCAACTTCGCAAATCCTAATATTTGCATCAGTGCTGGGTCAGGTGCGAAAATGGACAATATCGGTCCACTCCATCATCGAAATTTATGAATTCGCATTGAATTCAAATTTTCCTTCAAATTTTGGACATAACAATATTTATACCTGTATTAGATGATGTATGAAAATGGAAATCCTCGGTCCGCTATATCTGTTACCTCGATCATATTTCCACATTTCCCAAAAATTGCAAATATTTCATATAAAGTATAGGAAGTAGTCGATATAGTCCAAATTTGTCGCGTTGTAATATTTTTATAAGTCTTAGGTCAGATAGGAATTGGTCAACATTGGCCAACTGCTTCGGAACCTCCCCCATAAGGGGTCAATAGTTTGAATAATCATAACCCAAGGCTGGGGGTATAAATGTATCGACTGATACTATTTTACTTGTTATATCTGTTATTAAATATATCCGATCTCCGAATTTCGCTCATTCCAATATTTCTATCAACATGAGGTCTGGTGCGACAATGGAATATATATATATATATATATATATATATATATATATATATATATATATATATATATATATATATATATATATATATATATATATATATATATATATATATATATATATATATATATATATATATATATATATATATATATATATATATATATTATTTTAATAAGTGTATACTGAGAGTATAAATCTACCGGCAAAACCGACTGATACCATTTAACTTGTTTCACTGCATTTTATATATATATCTATATAGTGAATGTAGTCCATATATAATATAGTTTAGTACGAGACTTCACAGAATATTGTTGATTCATTCATGCCTTGATGCGATACATATCCAATGGGTATATACACATGCGCATGTCTGCTCTGTGTTTCAATGGCCATACATTTTGGGAATTTCAATGGCAGATGTTTTTGCACTCCCTAACCCCCAAAATAAAGCGGCGCGGCTCAACAAAACTTGTTTTTCGCATTTGTTGAGCCACACCAAAGCAACCGCCACACTTAACATCAATCGCAAAATAAAATTGAAACCAAGCAAAGCGGCTGTTTGATTCATTTTTATGCATCATCTGTTTTAGAAGACTCCAACTGACAGGTAGGTACCATAAACAAAATGAAGCAACTGGGCAAAGCAGACGCGCATGCGACGAACCCGCATAAATCACATTGTGGCAAACGAAGGCATTTCTAGACTTGGCATTGGGAAACTTATATAGTTTCGCATTCCAAATCGCAATCAGAATTCATACAACTACCCTATTATTCAAACGCTTTCCCGTGCATACACTGTGCCCATTTTTTTAACCGTCATTATTGCTCCAACCCCAAAATGGTTGTTAACAACGAATTGAGAACTTTTTTGGCGCAAAATGAATCTTTTTGAGTCAGATCCCAAAAATGAGAGAAAACATAATGAATGAAATCAGCTTTTGTGTATATTTGCTACTCATGTATGCAGGGCGCGAATTAAGAGGTAACGACCGAGCTCATCAATGAGGATTTACAAATCTGTGAATTTACATTTTTTATTAACAAAGTCAAAAATTGCAAATGATTACAGCCTGGTACAATTGGTTTGTTCTGGAACCTTTAAAAAAAATGGGATAAAATAGTAATATCTTCTAGTAATTTGCAGATCTGAATTTGTATTAGGAAATTGAAAAAAGGATCGTACTGGTAAAATTCAGGCAATTCCTCGGGTGTATTCATTGTAATACAAAAATATAAATAACAAGTATGGAGAACACAATGATGACCAAGTAAAAAAGCACTTAAGTTCGGCCGGACCGAACGTTTTATACCCTCCACCATTTAAGGAAGTAACTTGAAAAATGTTAAAGAAAAACTTAAAGTCAGGCTGAGCCGACTGTATGATACCCTACAGCACTTTGCGTATTTAGTAGATATTCACATAACAAATAAGAGATTTTATGGGGGGAATTTGTGAGAATTAAATCGTACCAGCTATGATTATAATTTAATGTCCAAAGGACTAAATTTGCAGAGACATTTATATCTTTTCAATTCGAGCTTGTATTACGACTTTTGTTGCACAATTAACTTGAAATCCGATAAAGATATATATATATATGGCAGCTATATCCAAATCTGACCCGACCTCGATAACATTTAGCAGAACTATTTCCGAGCTGTATTCGATATATTTCCCCAAATATCGTTGTTACAGAATGCATAATACGGCTGCGGAAGACAAAAATCGGATGAACAATGTATATGGGTCTATTGGGACGATCAAATATAATATTCCGTTGAATAATGTCGTTAATATCAATTCCCATTTATGAACATAACCTACCTACTACCTTCTTCCTCAATTCGTTCTGGTTTCTTTTCCTGCAAGATTTTTTTTTAGCAAATTCTTTCCAGGAAAGTAAGACAATTGTATTCTCATTTATAAGAAAATTGAAAAGTAAACAGACAGGATCTTTATGAAAACCTGGAAGCATTTAGCGGATTTCTCTTGTACGCCATTATAAAGAACAAAACATGCAAACATTTTGTATTTGAATTTTAATATGAATATGAAGCATTTAATATTTTCCAACTTTGTTTTTTTAGAAATCAAAAGGGATTAGATTTGCGATTTCCAAGACAACCCTCTTTTCAATTTGCTAACTGAAAAAAATGATTTTTTGCAACCCTTTGAGTAAATGGTGACAGCTATGTTTATGCATCTAGTTTTTAATGTATTAATATTAATCCGTACTCTCTCTGACGGACAGACAGTCTTTATGAGGTCTTAAAGAATGAATTTAATGAGCTGCAATATGGTGGAAGCCTACAGAACGACAAGTTAAATTGACGTGACTACGCACAGATCTGTGATTCATTCCTTCAGCTTTCCATTCGGCATTAAAGCATGTCATGGCGTGTTACATGCAACGTAGGTATGTGTCGCATCTTTCCCACCTTCTAACATACGGTGAAGTTATCTATGCTTGGACAGAGTTGAAATCGAAACGGTACACCGAACCGAGAACAGAAATCACTTGGACTGAAATCTAAGTCAGTGGAGCAACAAATTACCCAGCTATACGAAACTGCATGCCATGGAAATCTATTTGAACACGATACCAGCGTGGACAGGACAGTAACAAAACACTCCCCATATGAAGATATGAAATAGAAAATTCTCACGAAGTTCTATTGGTGCACTTTATAGCTTCACACCTGCAAGCCGGTGTGGCATGT